ATGTGCTTAATGAGCAGACTTTTTCCAGTTACCAATGAATAGTTTTATTTTACGTAATTGCAACCATTTCAGCATGGCAATTAAGATAGAATGTTACCTTTGGGATGGGATCAATTAAAGGTTTGAAAATTGAATTTAGGATCATGATTAGTCTCTTTTACATCACTTTAGTATTCTAAAATATGTAATTGTATCATTCAACCCTTTTTCATACATACAGTAAACATAAACTTTCAAGGTTTCTTTTTAAGCAGAAACAGATTTTTAGAGGCCTACTGGTAACTAAAACCATAGTAAAATGGGGGAAAAGGGTTTCCCTTATTTGATTAGAGGAGATTTTAAACTTATAGTACATGAAAATGTTGAATTTAGTGTAATTGGTTGTCGGATTTCTTCAGAATTGAAATCATTATGCCCTGGACATATTCCAAGACATCTTTTCTTTATTTTATTCTCCCTTTTTTTCTTTTCTTTTTTTTTTTTTTTTTTTTTTTTTTTTTTTAAAGTTACAATTCAAACCAGCATGGAACACACTACAGCGTTGTAGTTGGTCATGTAATGTCACCGAAGCTGACTTCTGAATATAGACAAAGGACTTCATGTACTGGAGTGCTCCACTGGTGGAAAATTGATAGCAGCACGAGATATGCTATTACAGGCTTTTTGTTCTTCCTCCAAATTTGTGCTGACTAAAGTGCTTTTGTGCCTGCACGGGGGAAAAAAATCTGTCTAGAGGAGGCTGGAAGCTTAAAACAAATGCAGCATGGAGGGCATAGATTCTTAAGCAGGACTGTGTGAATTTAGCTGGAGCTCACTAAATAACAACCCAAGTGCTTTATTTTTGTCAATTACTATTTCTTAAAAGGACATGAATCACAGGGAAAATGATCAAGAAGCAAAGAATAAAATTCATTCCAAGACCAAAAAAAAAAGTAAAACGAAATAGAAGAATTAAGCAATGTTTCCTAACTCTTGTCAGTCCAGCATGGAGTTATTGCCAGGTTTGTACACACCACAATCTATTCAAGCATTACGGAGAGATAGGAACCAGAGATGCAGTTTGAATGCCAATTAAGTGTGCACTTTCTTCCAGAGCAGCTTGAAAAAGTCAGCGTGACCATGGATATACGCCCCCTTCCTCCACCCTCCTTCTGAACATAAATAAATCAGCCAAATAGCACCAGCGCCGCTGCCCCCACACTCAAACTGGAGAGAAAAGGCCAAAATAAACATTGTTAATTGTGAGCAATTCACATAACCCTCCATCAGCTGTACTGGGGGGGTGTCTCAGGGACAAGACGGTGCACAGCAAAAGCCTTTTGCTACTTGTGTGTTTTGGGTGACTTTGCAGATCCCTGGACAGTGGAGTTGCCCTTGGAGAGCCATGACGACCATGATCCTTCCTTTACTGCAAACAGTGCCTTTTTGGAATTTGGGGAATGAAATTGGAGTCCTTTTCTGTTCCCATCTCAAGGCAGTCCCAAGGAACTGGTTCTTCCTTGCAAGACCAGGTTGGTCTGCTTTTGGTGCTCTGTTCTGTGGAGCGTTTTATCCTCTTCCTGACCCTCTCCGGTGTCACTCACTCATTTTCCTTCCCACTTCAAATTAAATGTCTTCCCTCTCCATTTCGCCCCTAGCCCAGGCAGTGTGCACTCTGTGTCTCTGTACAGTGCACAACCCCAGCACTGCCTGAACAAGCAAATCCCTTTTTTCCTTAAACACAAGGCTGGGTTCTCCCTCTGACCTGACAGGGTTTGGCTTTGAATTTTCATGTGAAATGAAAGGTGCAAGGTTAGCTGGTTCCAGACAAGGTCACTTCCGTGCGCAGCAGCAACAGTGGGAATGAGTAACCTCCTGCCCATCCACAACGCTTGGTCATATTTATCTCTAGTTTTATTGGGGAATTCTTCACCTCCACTCAGAAAAATCGAGCTGCCATCCTGAGGGGTAACTAAATGGCAGTTACAAAACAAATGGACCAATAGTCTATTTAGCCTAGTCAGTGTGAGCGGAATATATCCTTCAAAATAAAACACTATTGGATAGGCTATGGGAGTTCTCCAGATGGCCGAGTGGATAGCTTTCCAGGGTCAACATGAATATTTAAACAGCATTTTCTACAGTGCAAGCATTAAAGGTACAAAGTTGGAGTTGCTCATGGTATCCATGGAACCCAGATCGTGAGCAAGGATACCCCTTTACCGAAGGAAAAGGTAAAGCAGCCAGGTTTTGTGATCACTGAAGTATATTTGAAATAGATTTATTTAAGTATGTGTTTTAATCATGCAAGTTTTCAGCAATTGGGTTTATTCATGCTGGCTTTGTACTGGCTGACAACAGCACCAGAGACTTACCACATTTGGCATTGATGCTGGGAACACATCAGTGGTAGCAAAGTGTTAAAATCGGCTTACAGATGGTTACAGTGGTTCCAAAGAACGGCAGTACCTTCTGGAGGGACTGGGGCACGCTGTGCTGCAGCTTTTGCAGACTCCTTGCTTACACTGAGCTGACCCTGCTTAGCAGAGACATGCAGGACCCAGGGGCTTCATCAGTGGGGAGATTATGCAAAACAAGGCTTTTCCCAGGGTGTTTTGTACCATGTCAAGGTTTCTGCTCACTCCTTTCCTGGAAAGACACATGTGCAGGGGTAGTACTGAAGTTGGGAGCTCATATTTATTGCCTGAACTTTGTACCCAGGTCATTACACTCTTCTTTCCCTAACAAGCAGTGCTTTTCACTTAGAAACTCCATTTCTTTCCTGCCAGGATGTTATTCCTGCATCCCTGAGATCCTGACCCTGTGTCACCACTCTCAACAGCCCTTTCACCAACAAGCATGTCCTTGCTGTCACCCAAAGAACCCCCTTCTGAAAATAATCCTGCTTCCATTAATTCCTCTCTTGAAAGAAAAATACAGAAAGAGATAACTTAGTGCTATTATGAATTCAATAACCACACACACATCCTAAAATTATACTGCCATAGTTTTCAGTCTCTGCGATGAAATCACCAGGGGTTCACAGAATACTCAGCAAGTCCATGAAAGGCCACTAGAAAAGGAAACCTACTCACTGTGGCCTTAAATTCCATGTGCATGGATCTCCACCTCCAATGGAGGTTAGCAAAATGAGAAAAGACTGAAATCCATTTTCCAGCTATATGCAAGGTCTGAATTCAAGCTGGTTTATTTCATAAATGAAAAGCATCATTCTAAAGGTCTAGAATGCAGGTCTGGGTTTGTTGGTGTTAACCTGTATTTTGCAATGGGACCATGCCCATGTCTCAGCCCTGCCAGCCAAAGGCTTTGAGATGTTCCCAGTCCAGGTCAAAGTTTTGGGTGTAAGCTACAGATCAGCAGAAGCCTGGTTGTTCTGTATCACCTTGTTGATGTTACTGTAGGAGCCAAATGATTTGAACAATGTGACTTCAAATTTCTTAAAATGTAGGTGACTAGAGTGAGATAAGGGGAGTTGTGAGCCAGGTTTTCTCAGCACACATTAGCACTATTTACCAAAAGAAATTCGTTCATTATCTAACAGTGATCATTATAATCTACATGTTGTTTCTTTGATCTTTCAAATATTGCTTTGCTAAACAGACCTCTGGTGATTTCTTTTCTTTTTTTTTCCCATCTGTTTTGCTGAGACTAAGCCCCACAACATGTGCATTTTTTCAGTACAGAGTGTTTTCTGTACTGTGAGGTTTATTCCAAATCTCAGTGTCCAGGGTTACTACTAGATAACCAGGAAAGAAATCTTTCTTGCTTCCTTGCTTACTTTCCTACCTTCTCCTCATAACTATAGTAAAGACACGACAAATACAGTGAATTTAAAGGGATTTTTTAAGCCAACCTCAGAAAGCTAGTTCTAAAAAAGTCAAGCCTGCTGTACATACACAGCTGGGTGTATAGCTGCATGTGTACCTGTCCTCTCAGACATTTGGCATTTGGTGATACCCCTCTGATACACCGCTGCCACCTTGTTCCAGGACAATGGAGTGATGAGGCAGGGGATTGCATCAGTTTTATCCTGGGCATTGTGCCCATCCCCCTGCCTGTGTAGGGGGGGAGGGGGCACAGAGAACCCCACTCAGATACCACACAATGAGTAAAAGTCTTTCTTCTTCCTCCTGAGACCCTGCTCCTACTTATATCAACTCTGCTCCTTTGCCAACGAGAAAGGAAGCCAGCAGGATTTGCTTTCAAAGCTCCATCCTTTCCCTTATCCCGCACTGCCCAGCTGCAGTCCCAGGACATTTCCTTTGGCTGGGGGCAAGGCAAACAGTTTTCTCCTCAACCAACAGACATCCCTTTGCTTCCTGAGCCAGCCTTGGGTGCTACTCTGTGATTGGGACCATCTTTCCTGTTCCAGACACCAGTGAGCTACATCTGGGTTAGATTTAAATCTTCCTCTTGGCCAAAATCTTTCCTGACTCAGTTATTTGAAATAACTGTTTCCATTCCAGATTCCTGCCCATCTTCCCCTTCTGTCCATGACAGAAAGTGAAAACAGAAACAGCACTAAAACACATTCCCTAAAAGTTGTCAGAAGGAGAATTAACACATTTTAGTTAGTAAATATGATTACTTGTGGGAATTGCTCCTTTGAAACCAAACCAGCAGGAGGAAGGGACTGAATTCTCCTGACTGGTGCTCAGCTGATGTGTACCTGAGTCAGGTTGTCAGTGACACCCTTTGAAGTCCGTGCAAAAAACAGACCCATAAAATAAACTAAATTGCATTCCGGATGGGCACATTCCTTTTCACTGGCTGGAAGGGGTATTACTGTGACCATAATCCTCATGTAGGTGTCTTGCTTAAGTATCTACTGTTTAGTAGGATAACTGAACCCAAGCCAAAAGCCTTGCAGTGCATGGTGCCAGCTTGGACTTAAGGATGAAACAGGCTGGAGTTACCTACTGAAACCTGACTTCCAAACCAGTTGTACTGCAGGCTTTGTTTCCTCACACAGAGTGGTATCACCAGTCACAGATCAATACTGGCATTAAACAAGGTCGTGTTGAGTTTCTGAAGCAGTGGCATGTCTGGCCCAGCTTCCTTTCAGAGAGCAACACTGGAGCCAGAAGTGTGGTGGCAAGTCTTCTGTTCCAAACAGGAAAAATGGGGAGGTGATGAAATGAGTATCCGCCCGAGGCTCTGGAAAACTGGAGACAGATGATGATGTGTCGTATTAGGCAGGCGCTTGCTGATGAACAAGAGCATGTATTGGATCCAGCCGAGGGGACATTTGCTTCCCTAGAGATTGCAGGAGTAGCTGGTCAGAATCATCATAACACCAGAGTCCCTATAAAAATAACATGAAGAAAATGTTTTGGAGTGGCCACTTTTAACAAGCTGGAGGGAGCAGTTGCCTTCCTGCAAGTCTGGCACTTCCTGACCTACTTCTTAGTAGGAACCGAAATCAAAGACCCTTTATGCTGCTGAAAGTCTGAACCTGGGAAGCCATTCTAGCAAGGAAGAAGTCCTGAGGCACTTCTCCTTGTCCCTTATATGTTCTTTCTAGCCTTTGGCTACTCATGGAAAGAAATGCCTTTCTACTTAAACATAGTTTGACTAATTAATCTATTCCATCTGTTCCTTCCTCCCAAAATGTAACCATGACACTGAAGTTTCCGAAACAGATTTGGTTCTCGTATTGATTAACAGGTCACAGAAAAACAGGAGTGCAGGGAAAGGGATGAAGGGAAATGGTGGTATTTTAGCTTGCATTTCACCCCAACCAGGTTCTGATGCTTTCATGCAGACAGTGATTTGTACAGTGTGCTGGGTACGTGCAGGCAGTCGACAAACACCTCTGAGATCGTTCATGCAACTAGATCAGGAAAGCCAATCAGTGCTGGCAGAAAGGACTCTGAAAGTGCAGTGTGTTAAAATTGGGGGCTTGTAAAGATTTAAGCACAATTAAATCATTCTTTTGGGGTTTTTGGGTAACCTGTGATTTTCCTCTTGAAGCAACTACTCAGAATCTGCTTGTCACCCACAGAGACTAGTAAATAGGGGTATAGTCTGATCATTTTCTTAAAACATTAGAAAAGAGCCAAGTGGGTAAATTTTTAACAGTTCAAAGTGCACCTGAGCTGCTCTGACACTCACCAGCTTACGCTGCTGCAGAGCTGAGTGCAGCCCTGCGCCATGTGCAAATTTGCTTCTCACAAGTTAGCCCTGCTCATGGAGATCAAACGCCCTTTATCTGAACTGACAGCAGGTAACTGATCAAATATTACTGAGTTTGCCTTTAAATTTTAACCTGCAAGACTTACACTGCATCGTGTCGGATTTTATGTTTCGTGACACAGTGTGCCAGAACCAGATAGTACAGCACAGCATAATGCAACGTGACAGCTAAATTCAAAGGAAAAGACACTTCTCCTGCAACAATTAACCACTGTGGATACTTGGAGTGCTTTGGAGTTACGGCAGCCACCAAGGCGTCCCCATAGCAGACCTGTCAACTGCAGGGATGCCCATCTTTTTTGAAGGCTCAAATCCAGGCTGCCGGTGCTGGTTTCCTGAACTTCAATGGGTTTGAGATGTTTGGGATATAACAACTTTGAATGGTTTGGGTTTTTTTCTTTTTTTAATATTCTCATGAGGTTCTCTTTTTTGGCAATAGTTCGTCCATGTTACTGCTCCATTGAAAAAGCATAATATTATTATTTCCAAACTTGAAGGGAACATAGTAAAAAAATATATTCTCTAATGAGATAAGTGTGCTTGATCCAGACTGTATGTAATTTGGATAACCTTGACTACTAACACAATAAACAATGCCACGATTTTAAGTGGGGATGAGCTGGCATGTTACAATCTCTCTGCCAAATCTAATACAAGTGCCAAGCCTTCCAGGTGTTTCATTGTGTTATCACACAGAACTAACATAATTTTTTCTTTCAGTTCTGAAGAGGTGGTCCAAAATGTTTAAACTACAGTAGTTGCAACATGTCAAAGAGGGAATTTATTATCTCAGCCCCAATAGGTCTTAATAAGCCTTACACAACTGTTTAGGCATTTATTCTATTAACGGCTGTTCATTCCAGTGGCTTCACCTGAATATTCATGATCTTACTATTCCCAGTGCTTCAGTGTAGCAGCTGTTTGAAATCCACAGCAAATGTTCAAGAGAGTTCCACAAATATAAACACCCTCACAGCTGAATGTTTGGGGCCTGTGCATCGCAGAGGAGAGACATGAAACATTTATGTGGAGTGATTTTTGGAGGACGGCATTTACAAAGCTTAAATAGTCCTCGCACATTTGGGAGCACTTCAGTGTGATTGGGACATTACCATGGAGGACAAAGAGTCTGGAAGAGTCCACATCCCACAAAGATGTTACGCTCGCCTCTGTGCGATAATTCAGTGTAACGGATGATTCCTGCTAAATTCCAGATTTGGAATCAAACCTAGGCAACTGGAATCGATGGTGGGGTCTTCTGTTTGTTTTTTTTTTCTTGCTTCACCAACATGGGATTGAATGAGGATGGAAATGGCATGTACAGAAGGGAGGGACCACGAAAGTAAAAAGAAGCAAAGTGCTCAATTAAATTAGTTAAACTAAACACAGAAGGAAGCAGGTAATAAATCCTAAAAATAAATCCTAAAAATTTTGAAATCACCCTTGCTCATGTAGGAAATGAGTGTCTAACTCCAGTCTCTACTTATGTAAATCATTTGTCTCATATTAAGTAGAAAACAGGTTATGATGGAGTCTAACCAGACAAGACACTTTAATTAGCAAGCACATGGAGGACATAAAGAATTCAAGCTCTCTCAGAGGAGTGGGGATGGGAAGTGAGTGCTCTACCTGTGGTTCCATCTGTTCTGCCACTGTCCGTGTTGCTGGTGTCTAGAAATTGTCACGGGCTCAGGATTATTTAGGAAGAAATTCTTTAATGTGGGAATGCAGGGGCATTGACACAGGTTGCCCAGAGGAGCTGTGGCTGCCCCATCCTTGGAAGTGTCCAAGGTCAAGGTGGATTCTCATGGCAGGTGGGGAACTAGACGAGCATTAAGGTCCCTTCCAACCCAAATTCTATAATTTTTTGATTATTGGTCCTTGCTGAAATTAATTGGGACATTTAGTCCATTTGTCAAAGGACAGGTGCTCTCCTGCAGAAAAGTGGTTTGAGGGCATGAGAGGATGCTTTGCTCTGAGAATATGGAGCAGGGCAGTGGGATCAGCTGGCAGTAGGATCAGCTGGCAGTGGGATTAGAGTTTGGCACTGTTGCTGTCTACACGAAGGACTCAGACAGGAAGGAGCAATAGCTGTGCTGTCGAGGGCACAGTCCCCAGACCTGCTAGAAGAAGATTTCTGCCTTATTTCATAGATTTCTGTATTTGTGAGATCTCTGATGCTGGGGCTGGTTTTCACCACAAAAATTAGCAAGTGAGACTGAAACAGAAGAGCAGGACTATCTCCTAACAGTGGCTTAAAAACTTTACCTCTTTGGTTCGTGATGTGGGTCTGCATTTCCTTTCCAGAGACTTTCCTACTTAAATTGAGATCTGATGCCCTTCCAATGGAAGAGGAAGAACAGGAAAATAGAAACTGGAAACACAACAGACAGAACTGCTTCCCATTGCCTGAACTGCTCAAATAGGAAATTTTAGAGCAACTCTGGCTGGAGTTTCCCTGGACCTGTTTTAATACATTGACAGATTTGACATGACAGCAACACTGAGTTACAGTTAATTAAATAGTTAAATTGTAGTTACAGTTAATTAAATAGTTAAACTATAGTCAAATTACAATAAATGTCAGTTTAGATATTGCAAATATATACACACACATACATATGTGTTGTATATGCAAACTGGTTAAGATCTTCCATAAAGTATTGAAAACAGCCATATTTAGCTTTTGTAGAATTCAGAGAAAAGGAATGTCCTTTCAAAGCCTGTGCCTCCACACTGGTCTCACAAAAAATAGAGTTCTAGTGTTTAAAAGAAACCTTACAACAGCCACGGGATTTTCAGTAATATACTGGGGGAGGCATTGTTCATATACAGACCTGATCTCTGTGAACAGTAACGGTTCCAGGCTAATAATGAAATAATCCATTTTTAGTAGATGAAAGAAGGGGGATCAGAAAAGTAACTCGATCTGTGGGTAATAATGGTGCCAAAAGCTTATAATGGAAAATATCTGAAGAATCCGAGACTCTCTTTGAGAGATATGAATGATTTCTTTTTTCTTGCGAAAAGTGTACAAAGAACTTGAGAAGAAGTGCCTGAGTGAATTTTATGAGAAAAAGCTCTGTTTGGGGGAGAAAGGGGAAGTGTCAGGTTGCAGCCCAAACACAGCCCAGCCTTACGTAACAGGAGGCACAGCTGAAAGATGCTCTGACGCCTGCACTTGATGCACTTGCACTTTGACTTTTTTTTCTTTCTCCTTCTCCTCTCATTTCCTGCTCTCCCAAAACCAAAGTTTATAAATCATCAGGAAAAGTCCCTGCATCCAATTTTCCGTCTATTAACACGCTCCATGATTCATACTTTAATGATCTTTCAGCACGAAGAAAATATGGGGTAAAATCACTAAAATTAATGGGACACTTGCTGTTTATTTCAACACGGTCAGGGTTTTGCCATTCCTGCCCAAATCTTTTGATTGGGCAACCAAACTAAATTTCATACAGATACATCAAACTGGCGTGCAATGCTCAGCTTAGCTCACTAGTGCAAACAATCCTTACTCAGACAACCAGCCCTAATAACATCCCAGAGCCTCTCTGCTGAGGAAGGTTTGCAGGAGCCACCCCTGTGGAAGTTTTGAGACTGCAGCTCTCATCGTTGCTGTCCTGTGGTTTTTTTCCTTGTCTTCTTCACATGAAACAGGTTCCGGATGAATCAAAGCAAAACCAAGACAGATTTAAATATTTTTATGTTTAGACCCTCCAAATACAGGCATGAAAAGGAGAGTGCAAACAGGGTTCACCCAGCTCTGGGTGTGCAGCTCTCCAAATGTGCCTCTGTACAGGGTGGGCTCATAGGACAGGATGTGTGGCTCCGGAAGAGCCCAGGGGACAGCAGTATTAAATTCTGAAACACAGTGAGGATTTATCCAGAACTAATGTTCTTGTACAATAGTATTCTTGAAAGTTTTTACAGGTCATCAGCCTACCTATCCCTGTTTTAGATTTGGGGAGGATGAGGCACCAAGGGAAATACTGCCCATGGTTACACAGCAGTTCTGTGCTCAGTGTGCTCTCAGCAACGCTGTGCTGTATGTCTGGATGAGGCAGAAATGGCAATGAGAAGGAATAATTAGGAAGGTGAGTTTAGGGCAGGTATAATGGCCCTCTTGGCCATTTTCTCTATTAAAATCTCTTTATTTTCTGCAGTTTCATTCATTGCATTGTAGGCACTGGCATAACATCTACCTCCCACTCAGTCATCCCGGGCATGTGTGTACTGGGTACCAGCAAATAAATAATGAAATTGGGAGAATTTCTCTGGCACAATAATTTAAAGTGTATTGCAAAATTCAGCCTTTTTCTCTCTCTCTCATTCACACGGAAACCTCCCTATTCTGTGTGTGTGAGTGCGTGTGTAATGCAGATAAATCATTGGGTTTCAATGACTACCAGGCTGAGACTGAAATAAGAAATAGCTTGTTGATTACTAAGGCGATTAAAAGGATCATCTTATTGATTCCCACCCAGCCAGGCACAGACCTCAGTAATGAACATCGACTGGTTTAATAAGGGAAAAGGCAAGATTTACTGGACGCATGTGCTTTTCATTAGAGTGAGCTGAAAGGAAATAAAAAATGCTGACCTACCCAGTCATGGGCCACTGTGCCTCTTACTCTTACAAGTGCAGCTAGTACAGGAAAGTAATAGAAAGCAGTATGTGACTGCACAGGGGCAATACTAATAAAATTATTGAAACTAAAGTACCAGAAATTAAATTATTTTCTTCCATCTTTCCCTCTTTTTGTACTGATTTCCATTCCCCTTGCTTACAGCACAAGAATTTGGATGTCCATTACAAATGAAAGCTGACTATGTGTTTGAAAATCAGAGGCAAGTTCTCCTCCCTTGTAGATCTGTTGGGAGATATGAGATGCCTATAAGTAGCTCATCCATCTGGGTTCATAGTAGGAGCAAATGATTCTCTAAAAGATAAGCCTGAGGTTAAAAAGGCATCAGCGTGGATGTTTGTGTTATACAGGAATTCAGACATTGGTCCTATTTGTTCTTGTAACGATCGATTGCTCTGTGAATGTCTCCTTCAGAAAGACTTTCATTTCTCAGTTTCTGGTAAAACTGCAGCTACTTGGTAAAGGGGATGGGAAATTTTTCTTCCTAACTATCAGCGGCAATAGTTGATTTTACAAGAATACAAATAACCATATTTCCACATGTGTTAATCATACCTCAGAAAATTTACACCCCTGTCAGAGAACTCATACTTGAACCTAACTCCTACACTGATGTGTAACCTCCTCAAAATCCAAGGCAGGGAGGTCAGCAGAGTACAGGATCCAGGCTGTGCAGCAAAGATCTTGTTTCTGGAAGAGAGGAAGCAGGTCCCTGAGGATTAGAGACAATGTGGGCTGCTGAGGGAGACTTTCAAATAAACATCCCTTCACATCACCCCCTGATTCACAGAACCCACAGTGCTGCTGAATCACAGGGATTTTTACAAATAATCAAATACCTTGCATATCACTTATATGAAACATGATGTTCTTACTTTAGCCCCAAGGAGAGTATTCCTTTCTAAAACAACACAATGTGTGTTTTCTTTGCCTGCTTACATGGTGAATGATGAGGAAATGACAAAATTTAGTATTAGCCACTTTTTTTCTGCATGAGGGGTGCAGGTTTCCTGAAGCATTTAAAACCAGAGGGGCCAAAGTCTGCTTAGATGTACAAAGTCTGCAAATCCAAAGCACCTCCATTAACCCTAATGGTAATACACGAGATCTGCCACTGTGTCTCATTTTAAGGAAAGGAAGGACAGACCTTGTTAGTAAATGAATTTTCCTTTAACTTGAGGAATTGGTACAATATTCACAGCTACATCTGTTCCTTTGTGAGGGAGTCTCTGTCACTGTGTCCTTTTGACATCACAAGAACTTGGTTGATCTTCTTTCAGTTTAATTTCTTTTTAGTACCATTAATGACTGTGGGACGGTACTGAGACCACTTCATTAATGTAAAGTCCCTTCCCGCCCATGTGACCTACTGGAGCAGTTTTCTCTGCTTAGTCTTCTTGTCTTGTGTACCTTGTGAGCTCAGGTCTTGCCTTCAGGGATCACAGGCAGAGTCCCAGGCTGGTTTAGGTTTTACTTGACTTGGCCCAGGAATCAGCAACCCGTTAGGAGTGGGGTGCAAGGCATTTCTTTCT